CGTAATCACGTGTTGCGTAGCCTCGTCTGCCGTAATCACGTGTTGCGTAGCCTCGTCTGACGTAATCACACATTGCGTAGCCTTTTCTGAAGCAATCACACGTTGCGTAGCCTCGTTTATTCGTATCAAACAGTCGAGAGGGAAACTAGATGGAAAAAGTCTAGATTCAAATTTTTATTTATTTAATTTTTTGCGAATTTTGAAAAGTTCGATAAAAATTCACTCTACAACTGGATGGAAACACGATTAGTGAAATAATCTAAAGATTTAAACAGCATCAGATACATGCAATCAGACATCACATCTAAAAAGAAAATGTAAACAAAAAGAATGAGCCACTGATCAATAAATCAGATTAAATCTAAGAATGAAGCAGGTGGTGTTAACGACCACATGCTAACTAGGGTTGGGCTTAATCGTATCGTGTGCAATTAATCACCAGAAAAACATTAATCGATTACTTTTTGGCACTTGACGATTAATACGATTAACGCCACCAGGCAGAGTCCGTCGGTGCTCCTCTCCGCTTCAAATATGACGAACATTAAAAAAAGGTTTTGTAATGCATTTATCTATTAACACCATTTAAAATGTGATGTACAGCCTGAAGTCTGTAATTTTGACACAATTTGGAACAGATTTTTACGAAGAGCAAATCTTTCCCACTAAATTGGTCATGTGACCAGGACATAACGGTGTCCAAGGATTCCAGGGGATTAATTGTCAAATTAATCGTTATCGGCTAAATATCACAATTAATTGTGATTAATTTTTTGCCAGTATTGCCCAACCCTAATGCTAACTCAAACACAGCTTTCTGTTTGAATCTACGAGCTCTGAATCTTCAGGAGTTATCAGTCCTACACCTGACCCGATCCTGGCAGAAGTTCTGGTTCTGGTTTAAGCAGAGTACAGCAACCTCTGTTCTGACCTCAGCTGTGAAATAAGTCTGTCACATGACGCTGGAGCTAATATTAGCCATCTGTCCTTTACCATTCAGATCCAGGGTTCCTACAGTTCAAGGCCAGTTAAATTTAAGACTTGTTAAGGCCAAGTGAAATCAAATTTAAGACCAATTTCACAATTAACACAAATCAAGAATTAAAACTGTAGCAGAAACTCATGAATCAAAGTATTTTTGGTTGAATTATTCAAATATTGCTAATAGATCAATTGTTTTTATCCATATCTAACAGCTATTTTGTTAAATATAGCAAAAAAAAAACATTCTTAGCAGTCAGTTTTAAACTTAATTTAATTCCTGAAAATCCTGTAATACGTGGGTTCTTAACCCCAGCTTGCTGTAGATGAAACCTTAAAATACCTGCGATGTGAAATGTTTGTAAGACATATGAATGCATTTTTGGAAAGACATTACAAATATATTACAAAACAAATTTCACATTGTTCAGACGGACAGTTGTTGAGTTATTTGCATGTGAAACGACAGGAAGTGATGTCAAGAGGGAGTGTTTAAATGTGAATATTTCAAAATTAAATGTTTGCAATTATTTAAATATTTGACATGAATTACAGTCATCTCACTTACAATGTGTTAATTAAAGATTGATTTAAGACCTTTTAAGGATCTGCAGGAAGCTGAGATCACTGAAACACAACCTGCTCAGCTCAGCGTCTCCAGGAGGATTTTGTTTTTAAAACAGATAAAACTGAAAACTGACAGTTTGCTGCTGAACGGATGGAGTTTGTTCATAAAATCATTTGTTTGTTATTAGTTGAGCTCAGATCAGTGATAAACATTTACAAGCTGCTTCCTTGAACTTACAGCTAATCTGTTATTTTCCGTTCCACCTGAAACAAGCCCCGCCCCTCCACCTGCTCCTCACCTTGTGAACACTCTTGGGGTTCTCCAACCAGGCGTAGTACATCTCCTCCACATAGTTGGAGCTCGTCCCGTTTAGGAACGGCTCCGAGGCCACAGGCGCAGCGTAGCACCTGATTGGCTGAAACGTCCTTGTGCTAACTGAGGAGGCTGCTCTGATTGGCCGCTGCTGGCCGACAGTCTGTACCGCCTGCGAGGCGGTGAGTGGGCGCAACCGCGCCGCACAAGTCCTTAAACGGTGCATGGTAAGTCCTTAACGTGTCACACGCACGGTGGCGGCGGTCGGTCCGACGGGCCGGACGTCCTCACGACAACGACAGGAAGTTAAACTCCGCTCGGCTCGGTCCGAGGACAGGAAGTGATGCTCGCACGTCCACTGAGGGGGAGGGAGAGAGACACTGTCAGGCAGGAAGACAAACCAGGAAAACTGCTGAATCACAACAATTATCAGCTCTGTCTGTTAGCAAAATATCTGCTGTTTAAAGCCACGCAGAGAAACGTGATTCTTCTGTGAATACAGACTGAAACAGACATGAGGGAGCTTCACTCTTCACCATCAGTCTGTAGACAAACACAACATTTTAAAACCTTCTTCGTTCAGTTTTAATTTACTGAACAAAAAATATACGTTTCAGACAAAAACATTCTGTAAACTGCTGCAATATGAACTAGACAATTTGCATTTCCAGCGAAAACGCCAGTGTGAATGCCTCGTGTTGATAACTTTAGCTGAAGCTAAGAAACAAGTTGATGATGTCACTGATTATTGAACTTACACCATATTTTTCTCTCCTGCATTCATTATGTTTTTGTGTATTATTGTATATTTTGACCTGCATTGACCTTGTGTTTGATTTACAATTTTAGAAATTAATTCTTGATTTGATGTTTCAGTTTTTCAAAGGTGCTTTATAAATAAAACTAACTATCTAATTAACTGACTGACTGAAACCAGTTTAAGAAAACAGAAGTCCTCATCTTTGTTTAACCCAGTTTAGATCAGTTTTAAACCCTGAGCAGGAGAATTAAACACATCAGAGTGAAATAAGTTAAACACAAAGAGTCAAACAGGAAATACCTGAGGACTGATATTTTCTCACAACTTGTTTGAGTTCCCTGCAGATACAGATTACAGATAATCTAACCTGCAGCTACAGGTTACAGATAATCTAACCTGCAGCTACAGATTACAGATAATCTAACCTGCAGCTACAGATTACAGATAATCTAACCTGCAGCTACAGATTACAGATAATCTAACCTGCAGCTACAGATTACAGATAATCTAACCTGCAGCTACAGATTACAGATAATCTAACCTGCAGCTACAGATTACAGATAATCTAACCTGCAGCTACAGATTACTC